AGATTGCCGGGGAGGGGGGGAATGCGTGAGAGAGAGAAGGCATAAGGAAGGGATAAGGTGCAAGGTGGCGGGAAGGCAGGAAGGCGGGAAGGGAGGGCCCGGCGGCACCCAAAAGGTCTGTTGCCTGCTTATCTTGCAGCCCCACTATGGTTCGTTCCGCACCTGGATCTCATCCCTGGTTTTATCAGAGTTCAACACAGGACACAATACCCTGCATTTATCCCTGGTTATAACAGCATCTGTTCATCTCGGGACAAGTGTGGGGCAAAACCGGGGTGGCCTCAGTGTAATGTGGAAACAAAAAATGCCCCCGAGATAATTACAGGGGTGTACACGAGTGTAGTGTAGAATGTAAGTCCGGGGACAGGGTCGAACCAGGCGAAAGGGTCGAACCAGGATTTAAGGTCTAGTGCGGAAAGGACCTAAAACAGGTCGCAGCATCCAGGTCATCAGATTGAGAAGGAAAACGGTGGAATAGAGCCCAAATGTGGCAAAATGTTACTTCCTTGATCATCAGCTGTGCGTGCCCTGACTCCAGTACTATCAGGTGTCTACCCCAGAGTGTAACATTCAAACGGGGCTTATGTGTTTGTAAGTCCAATGTGCATGGGCATTAATTTTCCAATTCGTTTAGTTCATTTGTACCTCATCACCTCTCTCCCCAGTGGGGGCTCCAAGGTGGCTTACATAATTCCTCTTGCCTCCATTGTATCCTCAGGACAACTCTGTGAGGCAGGATAGGCTGAAAGAGTGACTGGCCCAAGGTCACCCCACGAGCTTCCATGACATGACTGGGGACTCGAACCCAGGTCTCCCAGACAGTAGTCGAACACTCTTAACCACTACAATGCACTACATTCAGGAAGGCATTTTTAATTTTTTTTTTAAACTTTATTTAAAAAAAAACTATATATGCAAAATAACATACAACCTCAAGACAGTCACCGAAATAACATTTAATATCTGTTGATTATCTACAAAGGAAGGCATTTTGATGAAGAAGAAAAAGAAGACGAAGAAGAGGAGGAGGATGAGATTGGATTTATACCCCGCCCTTCACTACCCGAAGGAGTCTCAGAGCGGCTTACAATCTCCTTTCCCTTCCCCTCCCCACAACAGACACCCTGTGAGGAAGGTGGGGCTGAGAGAGCTCTCTCTAGAACTGCCCTTGAGAGAACAGCTCTGGAAGAACTTGTAACTGACCCAAGGTCACACCAGCAGCTGCATGTAGAGGCGTGGGGAATCAAACCCGGTTCTCCCAGATTAGAGTCTGCGCTCCTAACCACTACACCAAACTGGCTTAGAACTGTGGCAGAATGGAACAGTGTAAGAAGGTGTACAATCTACTGTAGGGAGTATTCAAAGTATTATCCTGTTTTTACTGTCTTCAGCCTTTGTAATTCCACTTAGTACACCATTTATCATATACTTCGCTTTAGTTAGGTGGTTATTTACCTTGTTTTCTAATTCCGTCTGAGTCCTGTTGCATCGTTCAGTGGGTGTTTTATGCCGTAGGAATGCATTGTTTTTATCCTGCAACCCTCTGAGTCCCAGCAAGCAAAGTTGGCTTCCCATAAAGCAAATAAATGAGAAATGTATTTAAAAAAGAGAAAACAAGTTAGATTAAAGGAAGCTATCTGGCAGTCTGGGGGGCCAAGGGATCTGGGGAAATTCTTATCTAGCAGTTTTATCAAAGGGAAACCAAAAGACAGTTTAACTGTTGAGCTGCAAGTCAGAGACATTTAAAAATATATATATTTAAAAAGTGTTTGTTTGCCCGCGGAAACCATAGAACCGGATCAGATGATACTCTGGTGGGCTGTGGTAGGGAGCAATGTTCCCTCTAAGACATGGAGTCTTGTGAGCAAAAATTCTACTTTGTGAGCTACGGGCATTAAAGCTGTGAGCGAGCGATTCGGCTACGGCATCAATTAGTTTGCTCTGGAGCCCTCCTCCCTGAGCTTAGACAAAAACGTGTGAGCTGGAGGCTAGAAAACTGTGAGCTGGCTCACACTAACTCAGCTTAGAGGGAACACTGCTAGGGAGTCTGTGTATGGGGGGTAGGGGTAAGATCACGTATTACTTCCTTGATCATCAGCTATGTGTGCCCTGCCTCCAGTACTATCAGGCATACACACCAGAGTGTAACATTCAGACGGGGTTTATGTGCACACAAGTTTCAACGTGCATGGGCTGTGTTCCCTCCAGTTACTGACTGTGGAGTCCTCTACAGAGTTTCTCCAGTCAAAGCTTCTTTGAATCAATGGGCTTCGAGTGGAGTAAAAGTCTCGGTGTGTATGTTACTGACCCATTTCTGCCCCTGTTTTTGCCACTGCCTTGTTAAATTATATTAGTGGGAGTTGCTAACAATGCTGTTCTCCAGGGCTTACCTTCCTCCTGGGCAGGTAGATTTTGGAACAGGTAAGGTGCCTTGGCAAAGTACTTGATGATAGGGTTGCCAGCCTCCAGGTGGCGGCTGGAGATCTCCCACTATTATCACTGATCTCCAGGAGACAGAGATCAGTTCACCTGAAAGAAGAAGAAGAAGAAGAGGAGGAGGAGGAGGAGATTGGATTTATACCCCGCCCTTCACTACCCAAAGGAGTCTCAGAGTGTCTTACAATCTCCTTTCCCTTCCCCTCCCCGCAATAGACACCCTGTGAGGTAGCTGGGGCTGAGACAGCTCTTTCGAGAACTGCCCTTGAGAGAACAGCTCTGAGAGAACTTGTGACTGACCCAAGGTCACACCAGCAGCTGCATGTGGAGGAGGAGTGGGGAATCAAACCTGGTTCTCCCAGATTAGAGTCCACGCTCCTAACCCCTACACCAGACTGGCTCTTTTGCCAGTTTTGGAAATGGCTGCTTCAGAAGGTGGACTCTTGGAAATTTTGGGGGTGGAGCTTGGAGAGGGTAGGGTCTGGAGAGCGGAGGGGCCTCAGCAGGGTATAATGCCATAGAGTCCATCCTGAATGTCCCACTCACTCTGTGTAATGTGCCTTGAGTCCAAGGGAGAAAGGTAGACTATAAATAAAGCAAGTGAATACATTTGTAAAAAATCTTCTAAAGCAACCATTCTCTCCAGGGGAATTCATCTTTGTCATGTACAGTTGTAATTCCGGGAGACCTCTAGGTCCCACCTGAGGTGGCAAACCCATAAATCGTTGGGATATGCAAGGTCTATCCCGCATAGATAAAGAAGATTACAAGAGCATCCTGCAGGGGGCAGCAGAGGGGATAACTAGTTAGCATAGTGAGATTAGGGACTTCCTACTATTTTCAGATAGTCTCCTTCCTGTCTCCCGATTGACTCAGTTAGGATTTTTCCCACTCCTGCTGACATCTCTTAGTTATTGACTCTCTCCTAGCCAGTTAGAGAGTTAGACTTCTCTTTCCTCTTTCTTACAAAGCTTGTTCTCTTCTTAATAAACCAACTTAAATCTTTAAACAGCTTGTGCTCTCTTTTACTGCATATCTACACACTGAAAACAGAGCAGACGTTCTGTTGAAATAATAATGGCTTTTAGTACACTTTACGCTCGGACAGGAGTTATTTTGCCCCTTTTCTTCAGTTCCCATTTTGAGGGATTGGTTAATAATTTTTTTTTTTTAATGGCAATGCTAGAGAATTCACGTTGGAATTCACATTGGAATTCACGTTGCCTGCCTTCATCTTGTATACTTTTAAAAAAAAATTCTCAAAAGCTCAAAGTAGTCCTGAGATGATTCGCCTCTCAACTTTCCCACAAAATAAAGGGGAAGGAATAAAGGCCTCTGTGGCCAACATCTGTCTTGAACAAAGAGATAAGCCCATTCAAGCCCACACAATGAATACTATGGGGCTGGCTCTTTCCCTGACCCCTTTCCCTTCCTGACAACGGCCTGTTAAAGAACAGCAATCACTTTAGTCTTTCCCCCCACAGATTAGAAAGTAGTCCCAGGGCTCACTGAACGATAACTTCAGGGTTCCCTCAGTCCTTCTGTTACTTGGCCTCTCAGCACTATTGAGGTGTGGGCCTAAAATGGGTGTCAAGGCCTAGAACTTTAGGCCTAGAGTTAGGGTTGTCAGTAGAGCCTGGAATTCCCCCAGAATTACAACAGAGATAAACTCTTCTGGAACTCAGGTTGCCAACTCCAGGTTGGGAAATTCCTGGAGATAGGGAGGCGGGGCCTGGGGGGCACAGTTTGGGGAAGGGAGGGTATATGCAGCAGTGCAGAGGGTTGTCAGATCCTCCCTGGCCACCAGTGGGAGATGGGGGACTAGGGTTGCCAAATCCAGATTAGGAAACTCCTGGAGATTTGGGGATGGAGTCTGGGGAGGACAGGGACCTCTGTGGGGTACAATATCATAGAGTCCACCTTCCAAAGCAGCCATTTTCTCCAGGGGAACCAGTCTCTAGTCTAGAGATGAGCTATAATTCCAGGGGGTCCCCTCGGGTTGCCAGGTCTTACCTGGCTGCCATGGGGGGTCCCTCTTTTCATCATGGAGTTTTCGGCACATGTGCCTTAATGACATCACCCAGAAGTGACATCATCGCACAGGGCACATTGCAGGGGGTACTCTAGCATTTGAGGGAAAACTCTATGGTA